CAATCTCGTGATCAAACAGAATCAGAAAGAGATTTTTATAAGAAAAGTTTGATGAGTTCGAATACAAGGAGAATAAGCGAATATAAAGAGAATAAGAGAGTCTAGGGAATGTAGAGACTCGTCCTAGGGAAAGAAAACAGAATTAACACACAAAGACTGAATTCAAACGAAATGGGCTTCTCCTTGGAAACGGGCTGTGAGACAACAATGGGCTCGAGTAAAGAGTGTGTGGGGCTTGCCTCGTTAAAACCTCTCTTGGAAAATCCAATGGGACAAAATCAAGAGGAGAGAAAAAGAGTGCAAGTCACACACCTCCACTATTTCACTACCTTGCTCCTCCTCTTTACAAAAAACATAAATTTCAAATGGCTTATCAAACATTGATAATTATGTTGTTATTGATGCATTTTCAATGCAGGTAACGTTACCCGATTACTTCTTAGGAGTCAAGTACAAGTTCTTCGAAGCATCGTATACTACCTATGCTACCACGGTTAGGGAGACTTCAAAGAAAGAGAAAACACTTGCAAATTAAGAGCTCATGCATCTACAAAATTTCCTTACACATTGTTGCAGTAATCACATTTCTTTTTGGCCTCCTTCAGATACAAAAGAAGTTTCTTCAAAAGACACAGTTCTAGTGAAATTGGATAATTTTGTCTCTGTTGTTCACTTGGATCAAAGATCATACATATTTTCCATCAAACACTTTTACGGACAATATGTATGGTCACCATGGCATTTCTCAAATCCAAAATGAATTAAAGTGTTTGAGAATTTGATAAAATATTGACAGGAAGTTTGTTGATTTTCACTATAGCCATATTTGCAACCGATGAAAAAGTATCAATGAAATTAATCCTTTCTTGTTGAGTACAGCCTTTAGCTACCAATCTTGCTTTATAGCGTTCAATGCTTCCATCAGCATGATATTTGATAGTAAAGACCACCATTTGCAACATATTGTAATCTTACCGGGTGGTAAATCAGTTATAAGATAATCTCCAATGGTTAAAAGTGAATGACGGGTTCTTAACCATTTTTTAAATTTAAATTTTGCTTTTTCAAAGTTAAGAGCTCCATGAGTGGTTCCTAACTATTTTTTCTTCCAATGGTAATCCCTATTGGGGTTTCTTAAGAAGGAAAAAAAATCAATTTTGCAAGGAAATATAAATTTATGCAAGTTCTCTCCAGGCATCATGATCAGCCATGAATCTACATAAGAAACAAAAGCATGTAAAATTTTTAGGCTGTGGTATGTTTACTCTGATGTACTTCTATCAGTCCAGCTTGGGGTTAGTTGTAACATCCTGATTTCAGGAATATGGTGATGCATCCGGAGAGGTTTAAAAGAATTGATTTGGCCACATATGTCATCAAAGATGGTTTTAAAAGAATTGATTAACTTCCATTCTAATGTCACCTATGTCAACTGTCCTGAGAGAACTCTACAGTTAAGGGTGCTTGAGCTGGAGCAATTTCAGGATGGGTGACCTTCCGGGAAGTGATTGTCGGAACTGTGTGAGTGAGGACAAAACACAGGGAAAGATCATGTGGTGATTTGTAGGGTCGGTAAAGAAGTCTCTAAAGCCTCCCTGGACGTAGCGGACCGGCCGTCTGAAGATGGTAGACCCACGGGCCGAGTGAGAACGTGGGGCCCATTAAGAGAGATGGCAGTCGAAGCGTTACAAGTGGTATCAGAGCCGAACCCAAGCGAGTGTGGAGTCAAGCTCACACCATCGGGGATGATGCTCTTGGTACGCAACGAGGACGTTGCGATCTTTTTCAGGAATATGGTGGTGCATGCAAAGAGGTTTAAAAGAATTGATTTGGCCACCTATGTCACCAAAGTGCACTTATTTTTTCGGTCAACTGTCTAGAGAGAACTTTACAGTTAAGGGTGGTTGAGGTGGAGCAATTTCAAGATGGATGACCTTCCGGGAAGTGATTGTCGGAACTGTGTGAGTGAGGACAAACCACAGGAAAAGATCATATGGTGATTTGTAGTAGGCCTGGGCATTCGGTTAACCATTCGGTTTTGGTTCGGTTACGTTCGGTTTCGATTAGTTTGGATATGGTAATATAATAACCATTCAGATATTTTAGAAATTTCAGTTCGGTTCGGTTACCTTTCGGTTCGGTTCCGTTTGGATATTTAAATAGATAAACGTAACTAACCAAACTTTTATTACGTTCGGTTTGGTTCAGGTTTTTACCCAAAATAACCGAAATTTACCAAATATAACCGAAATTAACCGAAACTAACCAAAATTAACCAAAGAAAATACAAAAAAAAAAGAAAAATATTAGAAAGAAAATTAAATTTTGATTCAATTTTGTAAAAGAGTATTTAACTTTGACAAATATTAACAAACAATATTTGGATATTTTGATTATTTAAAGTATTTGATTGTTTTGATTCTAAAAATAATTAATATGTTGAGTTTATAAGTATAGTTTTGGATATTCTCTTGGGTATTTTATAGGTTTTTAGATATTTCGGTTAACCGTTTGGTTATCGGTTTAGTTCGGTTTGGTTTCGGTTAGTTTGGATAGGAGATTTTACTAACCATTCGGTTATTTTAAAAACTTCGGTTCGGATATGGTTCGGTTTTTTTCGGTTCGGTTCGGTCGGTTATTTGGTTAGTGGTTTTTTTGCCCAGGCCTAATTTGTAAGGTCGATATACAAGTTTTAAAGCCTCCCAGACGTAGCGGACCGGTCGTCGGAAGATGGTGGGCCCACAGACCGAGAGAGGACGACGGGCCCATTAAGAGAGATGGCGGTCGGAGCGTTACATTAGTAAGTAGGGAGGAAACAGTGAACAAACCAATCTAAGAATACCAGACTTAGCATTGAGCAGAAGCACAAAAACTGCTAATTCAAATCCAAATAATTAAACACGGCAGTATCAGATCGAATTAAAAGGAATTTGGTTTAGCTTAAAACTCATGATTTGCAACAATTGGGTGGAGCACGATTCAGGAAATCAACAAACATACTATCAATGAGAAACACATCAAAATCAAGGAACTCATAATCAACAGACCATGTGGACCAAGAATATATAGATCGCTCTCCAACTCATTTCTCCTCTCAATTCAACGGATCATGTATCGGAGGAGATTTCGCATTTGGAGACATTGGTAGAGAAAAAAGAGACACGACATGTATCGGAGAAAAAATAAAAAACACGAGGACTCTTTTTTTTTTCTTTGTTAATAATTATGACCAATCACAAATTACCACATCACGGGTTCTTAACAATTCTAAAACATCTAAAATAAGAACCGTTTCTTAACATTAATTCATGTTTTGCTTTATTTTTAATGGCTTTAATCTTAAAAAACTCCTTAAGAACTCCTTAAGAACCACCCGTGGAGGTGCTCTCACACTCCATGTCTCGGTTCGTACAAAAGCATCAATCTCCTTTCCCATAGCATCATTTCATACCATGTCTTTCTTAGCCTCTGAATACTTTTGTGGTGTGGGGATATTTGTAATGATATTAATGAAAGTACGAAAAGGTTCATATAGATAGAAATAAGAGATATAGTTTATCATATGATATGGCGTAGTTTTAATAAAAATATTATTATAGCATTAAAATTCCTGCAAATGGAAAGACACTTTTCTAGCTATATTATGTTGATTTAGGCTCAGAAGGAGCAGAAACCAAAAAATATGACTCATAGGATGGAACTATGTCTGCTTTTCAGTGCAGCGCTAGAGGAGAAGCATTGGATGATGATCACACTAGAAACAGATGTTCATCAATAGGCGCATGAAAAGAAAAATGATGAAATGAATGTTTTACATCTTTTGAGATGGCAGAAAATGCAAAAGGGAAAATATCCTCGTGAAATATGACATGCCTTGAAACGAAAACTGAGGATGTTTCTATAACTTTTGTACCATGCAAGAGATAACATAGAAATACACGAGCTCTATCTCTAAGATCAAATTTAGTTCTAGACATAGGAGAAGTAGAAGAGTAACACAAACAACCAAAGTTTTAATAGCAACGTAATCTAAGGCTTAAAAGTTAACTTCTCATACGCAGTCTTATTATCTAAAACTTGACCAGGTAATCTATTGATTAGAAATGCAGCAGTCAAGACACAATCACCCCAATATTGCAAACGAACACCAAATTGAAACATAAGAGCTCTAACAACATGCAACAAATGTGATGCTTATGTTCTACTACAAGTTTACTTTGTAAAGAAGATTAATAACATATTAGGAAGTTGATGTTTCCTTCAATATGTAGATTACTTCCTTTTCAATCAATTCCATATTGCTTGGTTGTTTGCGATTTTTGTGAATTCTCTCTTGCATTGTTTGAAATTTATCGAGAACAGAACACAAATTTATAATAGGGAAAAAGTAACAACGTATAAGAAATTACTGAAGTAGCAATCATTATTCCGACTCTAAATGGTGTCATGTTCCGGTGATCATCTTGATCACCACCAAATGTGTCCCTATCGTACCAGAAATTCGACGAAGGAACCGAGGAAATTTATCATGAACATCTAGAATAAAGGGAATTTAATTAGAATATTTCAAAGTCATACCATCTGTGGAAATATTTAACCAAATGAACTTGTTTGATATGAGAATTAGTCTAGGAAATGACAAATGAAAGTGTAGTAATTGAATAGTCGAATTTAGTGATAAATGTCTTGAAAGAGAATTAGTCTAAACTTATGTTCATGTTCGAGAACGGTTCCTCATTTTAAATTGCTTGTTTCATGTATTCCATTAATCATTGTTCTTTGAAATACTCTATGACCAACAAACAATCTTCCTTCTTTGCATTGTCTTTAATTCATAAGTTTAATCGTTTATTTACTTAGCATTTTTATTTACAAATCTGAAAACTAACAAAGAATTTTCCCGCTTTAACTAAGAACGGGTTTCGGAAATCTTTAGTGTACCATTGATTCCTGTGAAATGATCTCGTATATACTTTTTTGCGGTTAAATTTATTGGATAATTACTCGAAGAATCATTTAGTTTTGATTGTGAAATTAACACGAAGGGTCTGACTGATAGAAAAGTTAGTAGAAATGGAAAAAAAAGTTCAGAAGAAATGAAAAAAAAGTTAATTTAGAAGAAAAGTTTCTTCTCACATATTAAAGAGAATAAATTATGGCTGCAAAACTGGGGTCTACGTTGAGTTTGCAAACTGGGGTCTCGAACCTGCGAGCCGTTGTCATTATGGCTGCAAACATCCCAAAATGTCAGATTAATTAAAACCTTTTTCCACTCTCACAGACATTTCATCGAACAGTTGGTGGATACAAAAAACAAAGACTCTAAAATCAATAAAATTTGAGCTAATTGAAACATCTAAATGATTAAACTACTATAAAAACAACGAAAACGATATCAAAACACATGTTTTGTGTGGAATACGACAAGAATCTGAAATTTTTACTCGATTTTGTGTAGAACCATACCTCATTTTCGCAGATTTTGTAGATTTCTACTCGATATTTACACCACACACATCATCGCTCTCTATTCTCCAATATCTCCTCTTTCGTCACTCTATTTTCGGAGAAAAAGAAGATGAAATGAGAAATCGATTTGGGAAAATCGAAACCCTAGAATTCTTATTTTTCCCCAATTGAAAACGACGTCGTTTGGTTTATTTGAAAACACAAAACATTTCTGGTTTATAAGTTAAAAAGATTGTGAAATGCTCGATGAAAGTTGTGGGATCAATTGGTATTTGGTGCTACCTATGTGACAACGGCTCGCGGGTTCAAGACCCCAGTTTTGCAAAAAAATTTAAAACTTTAAGAAGACATCAAAACGACGTTGTTTTGATACACGTCAGCTTACACGTGTACGATGACTCAGCACCGTAACGGAGTTGACTAACAACCCGTTAGATTGACTCCGATTTTTGCATGTTGTATCAAGTATAGGTATGAAATTCAAATTTTATTGAAGTTTAGGTTGTAAAATACCCTACAAAATTGTCCAGGTATGAAAATACACGGGGCAGACAGTACGGATATGAAAATCTTCTTTTCCCTATAAATGTGTATATTTCAAGCCTTTTTTTTTGTTTTCGAAATAACATCAATCTTACAGACTATATCCAAACTGATTTTTTTTTTTTTAACCGTGATATCTTTAATTCTGTTCGAGTCTGAATAACATTCCGACATTAACAATTTGTAACATTATTTACATAATTTGTTTCCCAAATTTGAGTAATTCACATAATTCATCCTAGGTTTTAAGGATTGTACGTGGATCTCATCGAAATTACAATCATTGTATTGTTTTTTCAAAAAACATTTACTAACGTAATTTAATAATTTTTCAAAATCTTTTGATGCCGTACATAAAAGATTACATACTAATTTCTACATTAAAAACAAACAAGTTTCTACAATTTACAGCTGTTACTAATCAAAAATTTAAAAAACTTTGCTTTAGAAAAAATAACAAAACATGAAGAAACAAATATATATAGTTTTTTAATAATATAAGTAGTTGTAAAGGCTTTGAGTTTTTTAACAGGATCCTTAAAGCTTAAGTGGTAAAAAAAAAGTACTTTTAAAATCCGGAAAAAAATATTTTAGAACTCTTAATTAGTTGTGTTTTTTTCCATAATTACACACGTAATTAGTTGTTGAGATCACATACTCACATGCATGTGTTGTTCCTTCTCTCAAGGTCCCCACACACATCTAATTGATAATCCTTGGCTTGTCACTCTCTAGCCACTCATATAACTGAAGCTTAAGCCACTTGACATTGCCATTAAACTCCATAAGCTTTGTTTTCTTCCACTTACAGGCTTCCATTAAATCTTCCATTACATAACATAACATAAAAGCAAGACACTTTTGCCCTTTTTAGACATTTGCTTATTGTGAAGGTGTGAAGAGTCCACGTTTCTAGTTTATGTTTCTTTCAAGATTCCTCTTCTCCACGCGCCTCTTTACGCGTATTCTACTACCGACTTCTTCCTTAGTTAGTGTGTACGAAAAAAATTATAATTTCTTTTTTCCATAACAAATTGAATCCATTATTCACATTTGTTTATATTGGCCACTAGGTTTTCAGGTTTCATCAAAGCGTCCGACAGATCATTGAAGTGAGTATAACCTTAGTAAATAAGTTTTTCTTAAGCTAGTAATAGATAAAACGCTTGAGTCGAAATCCAAATGACTAAATAGCCCACACGTAGAATAATCAACGCATAGTAAAATCGAATATGGAACTATAGTAAATTTAATTTAATTACGTCATGTGTTTTCTAATGAATCTAATACTATCGTATCACCACATATTTTCGTAAACAAAAAAATTATTATTTTCAAGAGCTATCGTACGTCCAGCCATTTTGAGGTATATAAACAAATTAAAAGAACTATACAAATCTAATCAGATAAAATCATTGTATCAAATATTATAAGACAACGAGTGTCAATAACTCAGTTAGTGTATCCGTAGATGTTTGTGAGTGAGTCTTTAAAAACACGAATTTAGATAATAAAGGACATTTTGATAGAGTATTTACACAAGATTTTCACGGTTTACATAGAACTTTGGAAATTTTGAATTTACTATCTCTTAAAACAATTAACAGAAGATGTTGTAATTTGTCGGTAATTTTGATTTGAAGATTTTCAATTTACAATTTTCTACTTGGTGAACAGAAAGCTTGTAGTAAATTTGTTTATTTGGAAGTTAATATGGATTTTTTTGTAACAAGAACAAAAGAAATGATTTGTCCAAAAAAAAAAAGAGTTGTCTTGACAGTAGCCAGTAGGGAAGTGCATATAACGCGCTTAAGAGGGAAGTAATTAAGAAAAGAGTCGTTTCACTTAATTAAATCGCAGCCACGAATAATGGGGTTTCTTAAAAATGGCTTAAGTGTACTTAAACTTTTGTATGATACGCCAAATTATGTGCCCTTTCAAATATGGAAATTATTTAATTTTGCTTTAGCGAGTAGGTTTTCAATCACTCATAGTCCTTGTTATAAAATCTAAAATATATCATTTTGTTTTTGCAAATATATATGAAAATTTTATGGTGTTATTAGGTTGATATATAAAAAAAAAGGGGCACCAATTTAGATGTTTGGTATACGGGTCCGGTTTAATTCCCTTGGGTCTATCCATATTCGACTCGTACCCAAACGTTTATTTTGTTCTTTTCAAATGAACTAACAACTAAGCATCTTAAGTAAAAGAAATTGCTACTTGTAATGTAAAAGCCAAAAACGAACCAACAGACAAATATCGATTTTGCGTTGGTACTTTCCAGAATTATTTAATTAAAAATTTTACATGTTTTAATTTATAACTCAAAATCCGCAAATGTTTTTTTATACTTCCCCATCAATGTTTATTGGAGTCTTCATGTATTCGTCGGCTCAGTGTATTTCAATCGTATTTTATTAATGAAAACCAAAATTTTTTTAAAAAGTAAAAAAATTATAACTCAAAATCTATTTTTTGAACTGCATTTGAAGGAAAAATGGGTAAAAAAACTCTCACATTTCTTAAAAACATGTTAAAAACCTTCAACTTTTTTTGTGGATTTTTAAACCCTCACCTTTTCATAAATGGTAAAATAAACTCTATTATTAATAAACTCAATTTAAATATAAACAAATAGTTACATTAAAACATAAATAAATATAAACAATTTGATTTAGGAATTTTCTTCTAAAATTCTTGTTTACAATCTTTTGCTAAATTGAAAACTTTTAAGTATGATGTAGAAAAGTTAATTAATGAAGTTGTATTCGGTTGTGTTACGAAAATTCATCAACGTGAAACCAAACAGATTTTGTGACGAATGATATATAAATTCTTATACTGAACAGAATATGAGTTTATGTTAATAAAGGTGTATTCGTTTCTATCACACAAATATACTAATGTGAGACCAAACCAAATTTTATAATACTACGAAAGTACATGAGTTTCCACATCAAAATATTTTCGTTGGACGAACTAAGTAAGATTTACTAACAGTTAATATTTATATATATATATATATATCACGATATATTAAGACTATAATATAAATTACATTTAGTTACTCGTTATTTAACTATATTTTATCCAAAAACTGAAAATTCGAACAAAAAAATAAATCAAATGTGTGCTATTCTATAAATTTTGGTAGTTTATATAACTTAACATCTAATGGTAACAAAAGTTATTTGTCTATTCTCAAATAAACTGTGAATGAATTTTTATACCGTAAAAACTTTAAATTTTGAAAAACAAATTGCAAACGAATTTGGAAAAAAAGTCATATGTTAATTTTTTTTTGTTTCTTACTGTTTTAATATAACGATTAAAAAAATTAAGTTGAGTTTATTACTATTAAGGTTTATTTTACCACTTATGAAAAAGTGAGGGTTTAAAATCCTACAAAAAAAAAGGTGAGGATTTTTTACATGTTTTTAGAAAATGTGAGAGTTTTTTTACCCATTTTTCCGCATTTGAATTAATGGAAAACTAAAATAACAATATTGGTCACGTCAAAATCCATCTAATCACGACTTTTGTTTTTAATCTAGATAAACGCATGTTATCGCATTAAAAATGAAAAGAGATGGGATGTGGCAACAAAAGCAAGTATTTGCTACTTGAAGTGTGAAAGACCATACATTTGATTAATTTGGATGTGTTTTTTGTTAGGAATTAGTCACTTTTCACTTTAAGATAAGTGGATTTTGAATTTGGTTGGGGATTAGAGTGAGTTAACTTTTAGAGTGTCAAGATCGTCAAGTCTCCATCTTAATTTGTACTTTATTTGTCCTGTTCTTAATTTGTTTACTAATAGAGTATAATAAGTTCAGTTACTTACAATTAGTTAAGTTAATCTGGCGTCATTATTTAATAGTATAAAGTAGTAAACTAATGTACTTTTATCGATTTCTTTATGAGACATGCCCTACTACAAAAGCATATAAAGATCATTGAGTTGTTGAAGTACATAGCGAATTTATTCTACCAATTAAATTACCGGGTTATACCATCAAATCTTTTTATGGTCAACTATGATGTTGACTAGAGAAACGACAAGGAGTCTCATGTCGAAAACTTAGAACGTTGAGGCTTGTGCGTGGTGACCACAGAAGATAGATTGAAATGTAAAAGGAAAAAAGTGAAACGGGAAGCAGTCTGTTTATATAGTCTTAGGAATAGGAGCTAAACTTAAATTCATTGTGTATTAAAAACTTAATTTGAATATTTTTTAGTTGAAATCAAGACTAATATGGAGACTTACAAAAGTTAATTATGTGAATTGTATGTTACAGATTAAGTGCGAATTGCGAAACGATGTCCCACGTTCGATCCAATAGCGAAACCACCAAATCATTTAGTTAGTTAGTAATATCATGTTGGATTATAAACTGAAACATATTAAATATGTTAATTATATGTGTACTATGTAAATTAATTTGTGAGTACACACATAAGAAAATAGCGTTTAACAAATTGACTGCTAAAATATGTAAAAAAATTGATATCTTGATTTCAATTTATAGAGGACAATAATGTTTTTAATTACTCCACCTTCTTTTGTCTTTTTGTTTGTGAAAGAAATATTTGATCATCTCATGATAAAAAAGCCCAAGAAGGCCTCCTCTGTACAGCTTTGAAAGTTTATGCAAATTTAGATACAAAACAAACAAAAAGAGCCGTACGTTAATTATCTTATAGAGAAAAGATATGTAGGAGGAATATATAAGTATACTAACAATCTTGATACATAACTTCCATCATCCATAGTTAAATGGTAACACATAAGTGCGAGGATAATACATACAAACCAACAAGCACGCGTATGTATGTGAAACTATATGGGAATGCATGCATGTATTCTTGCATCATCCATGCATGAATGCATCAAAGACTCTTCAGTATTTATATGTATGTATGCATGAAACCATGTTATTAAAACCCTTTAACAAAACAAAATAAATAAAATAATGAAAGCATGTTGTTATAAATGGTTAGGTTTGAAGACATGTATATACATAGTCCCCATGCAGCATAGTGTTTAGGATGAAAATAAACCCTAATAAGGAAATTAATTGTATGATTAATTAACACTCTAAGATTAAGGTAATACATAATTAATTAAGACTTTGGATTAATTAAGGGTTACTAATCACGCGGTGAATTTAGCCTCTATAAAAGCAGTAGCTCACCTTCCACAACCTTCAATATCAACTCACCCACATCTTTCTCTCTTATTCTCTTCCTCCTTTTTTTATATTCCTCTCTCTATCAATAATATATATAAAATTCGATCGTATAAAATAACTTAAATAAAAAGATAAGAAAATGGAGAAAAGAGGAGGAGGGAGTAGTGGAGGTTCGGGATCATCAGCAGAAGCAGAAGTGAGAAAAGGACCATGGACAATGGAAGAAGATCTTATTCTTATCAACTATATCGCCAACCACGGCGATGGTGTTTGGAATTCTCTCGCCAAATCTGCAGGTTCGTTTAATTTCTTCTTAAAATCAAATTCAATTATGATTTATTCACTAATCAATTATGATATATACACACATATATTTGTATGAACTAGGGTTTCTTCATAACATGCAAAAGTACGTATATCTTATACGACAAAAAATACTTTTTCTTACGTTCATTTCTTTCATATATATAAAGATTTATATACACAGATATAAATCTTATTTTCATAACTATAACTTTTATTTAAACGTATATATGCTCTATTATATTCGTTCTTTGTTAAAGAATCAGTCTACATCTAAAAACGTTTTCATGTGTTGGATGATGCTTTATGATGGCCTAGTGGTAGAGTAAAATTATGTAAAATAATATTTAAGAAAAAACATCAACAAATGGTACACGTATTTAATTTCTACTCATATGTCATACGTGGTATTACTTAATTATAATTATGTGAATATATGCACGTAGTACGAATCATATTGATTGATTGGTAAAATGAATGTATAGGTCTAAAACGCACCGGAAAAAGTTGCCGGCTCCGGTGGCTGAACTATCTCCGCCCCGACGTACGACGGGGAAACATCACGCCAGAGGAGCAACTTATCATCATGGAACTTCATGCTAAGTGGGGAAACAGGTTGGTTTTAATTTACTTGATGTAGAATATATATAAACAATTATATATACATATATATGTGTAACGAGAGAAAAGGACAAACAAAGGCAAATTCTTCCAACTTTGAATCGTTTATATACTCTTGAAGCTGCCTATATGCCACGTAAATCTTTGAAAAGACAAGAAAGCGAGACATTTGGTGACTAAAGCAAAAAGTGTTTGTTTCCTTTGTGATAAGCTTGATCGAAGAAGTTTGTTCTTAGACGTAGCTAAGAGTTTTTTGCACGTGTCGAAATTTCTTAGCCACTAACATTAAACCTCGTGGGTTTTATCAAAATAACATTTAAAACTCGTGCCTATTTCTCCTTCATACTCATGCGTCATGGCTAGATTTTTTCCCCAATTTTTTCCTTTTCTTTGAAGTATAAGTGTGTCAAATTTATTCAAGTGATTTCCCACGTTTCTGGAAGATATACATTCGCGGCCTTGTATTTCTTTGTCTGTATATTTTATTCGATTTCTATTTTTATTTGTTTTATATGTATAGAGCTGAAAATATGGCCAAAAGTACAAAGTACATATGATTCTCTAATTCAACAAATTAGATGGTATATTTTGTTTTTAAGTAAATGCGAATATCTGTAATTAACTAATTATGGATTTGATTCTAATTAGATTTGATTCATTTTATACGTATTTTCATAATTCTTTTATTCAACTTTTCAGTTATTTTCTTTATTACTCTTTTTGGGTTTTTAAGCTAGTTTCATTTTTCTAATCTCTACAATTTAATTGACATATAGTTTTTTCTGTTAATCTTAGAAGTACTGTTTATTAACGCTTTTAACAAACAAACAAAAAAAGTAAAGCTTTTAAGATTTGACAACAGATAAATTATAAATTTTATAAGGATTGTCATCAGCAAAAAAAAAAAAAAAAAAAAAAAAAAAAAAAAAAAAAAAAACAAGAAAGTGAAAAAGATCCAAACATTGTACATACATGTAATAATAGTACAAAACCAAAAAGCCTCATGACAGACACAACTGAAATAGACGTAAACCTTAATGTTTTGGCTTCATCTAGACGTACTAACTTTGGTCCTATGCATTCACATATTAAATCTCTTGCCCCCACAACAATCATTAGCTCATCATAATAACTATGTCACTAATGCAATTACCTCTTAATGTATGATTAGGTGGTCAAAAATCGCCAAACATCTTCCAGGAAGAACCGACAACGAAATCAAAAATTTCTGGAGGACAAGAATTCAAAAATACATCAAGCAAGCGGATGTAACAACAACATCCTCCGTTGGATCTCATCATAGCTCAGAGATCAACGATCAAGCTGCAAGCACGTCGAGCCATAATGTCTTTTGTACACAAGATCAAGCGATGGAGACTTATTCTCCTACACCAACGTCGTATCAACATACCAATATGGAATTCAACTACGGTAACTATTCGGCCGCGGCACCAACAGCAACCGTGGATTATCCAATACCGATGACCGTTGATGATCAAACCGGTGAAAACTATTGGGGCATGGATGATATTTGGTCATCAATGCATTTACTGAATGGTAATTGATTGATCGGTCGACCAAACATGGAATATTAATTGAGTATTATATATGATTTTTAGGAGTACTATTACTAGTACGTGACATGTATATGTTTTTGCCTCGTTGTAGAGGTTTGGGGATATAATTAATATATAATGTTACTTATCTGAATCCTTGATACATATATAATTTGGATCCTTGATGATCCCTTTGTTATACATAAATAAAATTGTTGAAGGGGTCATATATTTTTCGGATATCTTTGTTTTTATTAGAATAATTTGGCATAGGAATGTTCGTTATAATATGTAAATATAAGAACATCATTTAGGCTCTTTTTTTTTTTTGATGGAATGTCAAGTAATATCATTTTGTTTTTGACTATGAGTAATTCAATGTATGTAGATATCATACTTGTTATTTACTCTCTCCGCAATAGGTTTTCACATATATACAATATGTCTAGTCTATCCTCATAGTATACTTTTACAATTTTACTATATTAAATATTTTTTAATTACAACAAAACATTAAAAGTTATACAAAAAGGGGGTTTGGTAACCTTTACCAAAAAAAAAAAGTGGGTTTGGTAGTATCAGTTATACATAAAAATTAACAAACAAATCAATTTTCATAAAGCAACAAATAAGTCTATAACATGATCATTTTATGAATTGTTAATTTATATAAAAAGGTAACCATTATATTTGTAATCTAAGTTTATGTGACTCTAAATTCAGTGCAAATGATTGCACCAATCTCATAATATGCATTTTTTTAACTTATTTAAAATTTTATGCGATGGATCTTAAACAAAAACCTTTATCCGCGTATCTCCTGTCATACTCGACCAGTACAACAATTATCCGTTAACCAATTGATATAATTAAAAATGAATTTATAGTTATACACATTCATATAATTTGTATACAATTTTTAGTGGAATGTTAAATCAGAGCAAGACGCCAAAACAATAAGGTTAAAACAGAGCAATAATTTTAGACGTATGAGGATATCGAGAAGCACCTTCAATGTTCATCCATATATATATGCAAACTGCAAACACATACACATATGAGTTAGGCATGTATATACATATACATGTGGATCGATGTGTGTACATATCACATGACGTACGCATCATGAAACATTCAGAACCTAATCTTACCAATCAAAATAAGACACGTATCACATTGATGCTAAAAATAGAAATATTTTGGTACAGTTCACGTTGCCTTTATTCAACAATTTTTATCCATTTTTGGGCATCGCCATTCAACATGTAGAACCCGACGTAAGCCTAACTCCACGAATCAAAACCACAACCTTCAAGACAAAGATATCAACTTATCTTAATAAATAAATAAATAAAGATTTATACAATGGTTCAGTTTCATTGATATTTCTATCCATATATTCTTCAAAACCATAAATTATTTATACTTAAAACATGGGATGAAAATTAAGATTCAATAAGGTAGGAACGTGTACATATATTGAGCCGCAATGATACGAATTGACTATATGACATAAATTCGTAGAAATGTGTAACGTATATTAATTATTTGTATAAATTGGGTAGAATATTTGGAAATTGAGACATGATGTTAGGTTTGGAAGTGTAAGCACTATAGCGAGACGGCAAAAGCATTAAAAGCTTTACCAAATTTTTTAACTTTAGTCTTTAGGCAACAACACAATTTTGTCCGAATGATGCATGTGTAAAGGATAAATCCAAGCTCCACTTACTCTTCTCTATGCATTGGCTAGAATAGGAATAATTCATATTTCAATTATTTTTTATTTTTTTCTAAAAGCAACCATGTTATAATCTATATAGTATCTTTATTATATTCACATTGCATGCTACATGATGTAGAAAATTAGAAAACTCGCATCACGCTTATCTTAGATTCTCAACTATAAATTTGAATTCGAAATGGATATGGAATTGGGCCACATGTTTATTTAATTGACTAGGCCAACGTTTTTATCATGTGGGAATTGTCGACTTCCCATGTGAATAATAAAGGAAAAATCACATGGCGGGTCGGTCACAACTCACAAACATACAAGTGGTTTATAATTTACAATGTAAATAAACGTGAAAGAATTGGATTTTTCTTTTTTATCTTCTCTTTATTTATGTATTTGCTTGTGCATTGTTATAGCCTCATGCCTTAGCTGTACTTTCTATATATAGCAAAAACCATTTTCCTCCCGTCTCAATGAGTTTGACATAATCTTTATTCAGTTAATGTTGAACAGTTGAAGTCGGCGAATATCTATCTAAGAAAATTTTCGTTATTATCGACTTACTAATTAGCGACGTTCGTAACTAATGATTAAATCAGATCTATACTAAAAACCAATTTAATTGGTTAATACTATTTTTAGTTGTCTCAACACTTTTCCCTAAGAGATGACTAAATATTCATTCAATTATACTTAGGGTTTAATAATTTACTTACTCGTTTTTAATACTTAGATTCTATGAAAATTTAGTCACAATTTGCAACATATATAGACCTACTAAATGTAAATAATCTTTTGTTAATTTATAAGGTTCAAGAACAATGTTTTACAATGCCCTTTTAACTACAACATTCATACCAGTTCATATTATTTTCCATTCTGATTTCCCTTTTTTATCGGAATTATATATATCTTGTGCACTAAGCATGATAATTGGTTGGACTCACATTAGGAGTCCAAATCATATATATAATTGTAAATAATACAAAATTTGAAATTTAGACACTTTGAGTCCAAATCAACCAATTGAAGACACATATAATGACTTCTAAAAGTCTAACTTTAGACATGAGTCCAATGTTTTTTTTTTGTTTTTGATTTAAATTTTAGACATTTTTGTTTTAGATCTTATACTTAGACCTCCTGATAATCATGCTCTAACTATATGTCTGTGAAATCAAAGAAGATCCTACATACATCCATTAAAGATAAATAAGCAAATAGTCTTTTATAGAGAATATGGTAATCCCATTTCACTAGGCTAATGTATCATGCAGTATTTATTCAATTAAACTATCATGTAATTATGCATGCCTTTACCATTCCGATTCAATTCCACTCAATCACTTGTTTCCGGTCTTACCATGCCTATATGGCCTGTGTGTAAGAGAAGGCCCATATGTACTGGGGAAAGAGCCCAAAAGTTAGGCCATTCAGTATTTTTCTGTTCTTCATAGATGATCTTTTTGAGTTTCTTTGCCTCTCTGGTCCTGAGCCTATTATCATATATTATACAATTGAAATCAAAGCCTAAAAATTGCCTCAACGTGGTTCTAATAAAAAATACATAAAAAAATTATTATTGAAAAATACAAAGGATCCGATATTTTTTTATTCTATTTTAATCCCAGAAGAAAAACCTTTTGTGGTTTTCGTTTACTTCACGTATGTGCCCTACTATTCACAAAGTTATATTATTTAATGATCTTATGTTACAATAAAGAAATGAAGATTATTAACTGTAAAAGCCACTTGGCAGATATATGGAGCGTTATCAAGGATATTTTTTCACCCAGATCAAACATAACTAAAAATAAAAAAATTGATGGCCTAAATATATTTTTTCCTCATAACTATAATTAAAATTTTGAAATATAGGGTGTCAGCTGCCACCCCTTTCATGAACGTAGATATCATACTTACCACGTCTACGATAAAAGCTTAGTTTTGTCAATCGATAAAATATAAAAATAAGAATTAATTACGAATTATATCCTTTTCTCGAGTGGCATTTATGGATTATATCCTTTTTCAAACAGTACGTGTATTTGCTACTTTTACTCCACCAAAATGACAAAATTGCCCTTTGTCTAAAATTCTGAATTTACAACTGTTTATCCTCTCAAACTCATTTTCATCGCTCCGATTGAAATCTCTTCGTCAATTGCTAACGGAGAAATCTTCCAACATTGAAGCCCAGGTGAACACGAGCTCTCAAAGCCTCCTGCACAGCTAAAACATGGATCGACGCCGCCTTTATGCTCATCAACAATATGAACCTCGAGATCGGACATCACTCATGGCCTCAATCGATTCTTTCAGTCGAATTATGTCGATGGTGGTTGGGTCTGTGATAAGGTACTCCTTTTCACCTGGTTTCAGATTTTTAAATGTATATAAAAAGATCGAAAGATAATTAAGTGTTGGGAATTTTGTGAACTCGTTTAAAAGATGAAGATTAAGATGAAGTTTATGGAATTTACCTTTAGGAGTATTGATTTCCCATATCATACTAAAATCAGACTTAAAATTTCTCTTAATCGTTGATAAAGTTTGCTTCATCTTCAGCGCACACAACATGTTCGATGAAATGCCCAAGAGAAACTAGGGAACTACATTTACTAACCTTAGCTCAACCAATATCAGTCTTAAGGTTGCGGAGAGAAGCTGGACCAGTTTTAGTTATGGTTTAGTAATTAACTTCTGCTATTATAATATCACTATCCGTTTAATTTTGTTGCTTGGGTTCCCCTTTTCAATAGTTCTTAGGGTTTAGTTTTATTCAATATCAATGTTTGTTTAAATCTTTTGTTTGGGTTCTCTTTTTAATAATCACTAGGGGTTATTCCGCGCTACGCGCGGCTAAGTTTTATAAATTATTATTTTGCTAGATATATAAATTTTAAAACGATTATTCAAAATTTCAAATTCAACATTTGACTTACAAATATTTGTAAGGAAGATGATATTATATTTTAAAATGTATGTTGATTTTTAGCTTAAGAATTTCACTGAATAAACAATAAAGTGTAAAAGTATTATTTAGGTTTTTTGTTGTTGTCAAAATAACTTATACTAATTTGAATACAAAGGTTTTGCAATCCAAGATGGAGGATTTAGACAATTAGAACTAAAGCTAGAACGTATGCTTCCATATTGAGCTAAATTATGAGCTTTTTTGTTATAACCGCGATTTACATGACTAAAACAGACTTCTTTAAACTTAGTTGCCCAATACATAAAAATATTATTCAGGTAAAGAATTAAAATATGTATTGAAATTATGATCAAATTTTTAGGACTCTGAATCTCATTAAACACACCATTACTCTAATTATCTTGATGATTAGCTCTTATTTTTATAACTCTGCTTTCGTTCTAGATTTAAACGTGGGTCCTTATTTTGTACTACATAATTAACATCTATCTCCTATTAACCTTATTGGAAAAAGATATTTTTTTTTTAAGTGGAGGTCATTTCTCATGCTCATAACCTTGAGCTTACCTCTTTGGAACGTCTTATTCCTCTAGCCTACTTAGAGATGGAGAATATGTTTTCTCGATCATGGTTTTTTTTCTTCTTATGCCTTATTCCTCTAAATATTTAATTCTCGGTGCGACAATAAGCTAGACCATAATTATTGTCGCACATAGTCATTTTAAATCTTTTGAACGTTGAAATACACTAACACCTCGAACATAATTAATTCTCTGTGCGACAATAAGAGCAGAGCTAAATCCACATATATCAATTCGTGGTGAAGTAATCCTCACCTAAGAGGGAGAAATTGATGTCAAAAGAGAAGGAAAAAACAGAGGTCCAATCACTTTTCATGTTTTGTTTTGAAAATTTTCACATCGTTTTTTTGTATCTTATTTCATTGCAATAATTTTTTATTTTTTTGTTAGTGATCATAGTTAGATGATGCAAATTCTCATGTGGTTTAAGCCAAGCACACAAATATAAACTTCACAAGCCACAACAATCGATCAAGCAGAAGTCAACTTTGAATATATATATCTAAGGCACAATGGTCCGTAGGTAAGAAGTTAAGGAGTTCATTATGTTAAAAAATGCTATACTCCATGAAGAAAACATGTGTCCCAAAAATTCTTCGATTCGAGGATGTGTACCAAGAAAATAAGTGAATCACGTACACCTTCGTTGATATGGGCAGGCATCGCCTAATATTATGCCGGAGAAGAGAAAGTCAAAGAGAGAGGGTTACCGGAGATAATTATATGCTTCCCATTTTGTAACCAAAATCAAAACCTAATGGAAAGCATTAACCGTTTTATTAGCACAGTATGAATGATTGTACGGATTATTAAATGTAAAAGCAAATAGCAAAGAAGAAAATACAATATGAGACACCTTTGATTCCACGAGCTTCAAATTCCTGGTGTACAGGCTGCTCTGATCTTTGTACTTATACCAACTTAAAGCATTCTATAAATCATGATTGTTGAATAAGCTCTATGGTTACAGAATTATAGAAATCATAAAAATATACAACCATGATCAATAATACTAAACTGAAGTCAGTGCTTACTTTTGGATTATGGAAGTCGGATGATTTCCATCACCACCGCTTCCGCTTGGTTCTCTGGTCTGTGCCTCAATTTTCGATCTGGTGATCTCTTTCTCATCTTCTTCTTGCCTTCAACATTTGGAAACTTGATCCTCCACATCATCCACCAAAGTTTCGACCTTGTGATTATTCTCTAGGTCTTCTCTACAAAAAATCATTTGCGTTGTAATGCTTGTTTCGAGGTAATATGTTTCCATCGTGAAAAATAAACAAAAATAGGAAGAGGAACCGAATAGATTCCGTAAGATTCATTGGGAAGGGAGAATTTAATAAGGGTTGAGGTAGAGAGGAGTAGAAACGATTCGGCTTTGGCCTAATAAAGTCTGCGTTTAGGTTTTGAGTAAAATTAGTACCGTGTAAAATTGCATAGGTAAGGCTCATCGATGACGTGGCTTGCAGAGAATTGTGAGTGAGAGAAGTCTTGAGAATTGATGATGTGGCAACTTGAGAACACATTGTTAAAAAGCTGAGGTGGATAGTTTGAGAGGTCTCAAACAACAACTTTTATTAGTAAGAGATTAGGGGTTAGTTTCAATATAACATCTCTATCTCAAACATTGTCCGTTTAATTTTTTGTTTAGATATATTTGTTTGTTATTCAATACATGTATTATTATTAACTATTCGATTTAATTGAACTCACAACTCATGCCCAACATTGTAAGGGTAAAACTGTCTTTTCAACCCACCAAAAATGGCAAATCCAAAAGCCAATTGGATAAATGGCATAACCACAACATTTGGCCAACAAATGGCATTCTGGACAATAAACCCTATAAATAATTGGAACTATAACGTTTTGGATTTTAATATCATCGAAACATCATCCTCATCTCGATCACACTTCCCAAGACCAACCATCATCACCTCATAGTCTTGACACTTTTTTTTTGTTGTTGTTGCCTAAAAGTCATAGTCTTGCAATTGACAAACCATAATTCGTCATATCTCCTTTTCAACATGTACAACAAATTAGTCTTTTTTTTTTTTTGTTCAACACATGTACAAATTAGTCTACAAGTTGTTATTTTGTTCCTACAGTCAATATTTTTTTTTATTCCTACGGTCAAATTTACTAGAGAACGGAACCGATCCTATGAAATCTTAGTATTATACAGAAAAATAATAAAAAAATTTCATCTAGATTTTAGTGGTTTCTTTGAGTGTAAGATCACAAAAAATGTAATTTATCATAAAAATTTAACTGTGTTTTCTTTGGATCGAAAATTTGATAACAAAATCTAAATTTGTAAATATAATTTCCTAAATATTGAACACACATAAGGGTAGTATTAGCACAATGCTAGCATCCACATAATTTCTTTTTAATTTAACTCTTAACACATAAAATAAACAAAATGAAATTAAGTATGTTTATACAATATTAGAGATTAGTGATCTTCAGTTTACACATCCTAAAGCATATGTTTTAGGTGGCCTAAAGCATCCTTAAATATTAACGAAATTTTTTTATATTAAGATATTAGAAAAAAAATTAAAACAATTAAATATTTGGAAGAAAGTGTAAAACATTGTATTATGAAAATTAACTTTCTCGATTTTTTGCAGCAAATTTATTGATTTGTCGAGGTTACTTTTAAAAATAAAACAAATCTCTTTATTTATAAAAAAAAACTGATAAAAACCAAATATTAACAATTTTTCTTTGCCAAAAGAAAAATCAAACTATTAATTAATAAGTAAATTGAAGGAAGAAAAAAAAGAAAGTGCACACGGGAGGAACAAGAAAATGAATTTGAGTGCCAGAAAATGAAAAAAAAAAAAAAAAGGTAAATGGAAGGACTCAACATGTAACTTCCGGTAAATAATTGAACTACTTAAACAGCAGACCAAACAGATAATTGTGGCATTTTGTTAGAAACCACACACAGTTTCGACATATCTTTCATATGCCTACAGATGAGATACATTATCTCACGGGATTGTGGCTGCTTGCTATTAGAACAGCTACTTATGTAGGTACTATAACAGACACTCCAAAAGGTTGGACCTCAAAATCCACTTCCAAGCCCCCATCCACCAAAGATAAAAGCTCTTTTTCTTTCAAGGCATCAAAAGAGTTAGGAAAGAACAAGTCTCTTGATATATTCCTTGAAGCTGCTTTTCTCTTCATATCGGTTTCCAAATCAATACAATTGTAGACGGGTTTCAACGGATAAGGCTTGAAAAAAATGTCATATAGTTTAACTTGAATTATATCTGCTTTGATTTAAAATCTTTGAAAAGAATTTCTTTCTATATAAAACATAACCTGTTAGATAGCATAACAGAGGTATCTGTCACAAGCGCTATGTCAATGTGACCGTCTAGAACTTGACATACATATATTTTAATAATCAGATTTTGTAAATCATATAATTAATTTTATGTTGATTGATGATTTTTTTATTATCTGATCATGACACTTTCGTACCATACATTTTAATAATCACATTTTCTAATATATTTATGTTTCCCACCTTTTAGCAAATCAGTTACTAAGTTTCAAAATTGATGCACTTAAGTATTATTATTTTTTTTTTCACAATAAATATTATGTAATTTTTCCAGTATATAAAGTAAATAACATAACATTTAGATTTACAAATATTATAATTAACAAAACTGGATTTTAGAGTTTTTTTTATGAAATGTGAAATTGATTAAAATATGAGATCATGTACAAAAACTTTAGCTATAAAACTGTATAAAAACAGAGCTTGCATAAAAACAGAGCAACGCTATAAACAATGCTTAGCGACCTAACTTAATGGAGTTTTGTCCGGAACCAGAACTGTAGTAGTCCTCGAAGCTCTTAAAAACTTTACGATTTCAACACCAATTATCTAAGTATTTGATTGAATATACTTCCATATTGATGCAAATAAAGTATATTTCAATTTGATCATATTTTTTTCATCTGAAATATATTATAAAAAAAAACTATACACAAAAAAAAAAATAAAACCAAACAAACGCAAAATATTGAAATCTTTATAGACAACAATTTTAGTAAAAAGTTAAAAAGAAAAATACAAACAAAAACAAAAACCTTTAAGTTTTAATGTTTAGCAATTACATATTAATTTTATTTACCAGTTTCTTTTTAAAAATAAAAATTATTTTGATATCAATAAACACCAATTTTCACCTTAATAAGTTTTCAATTTGATCAATTAAGTTTAGTAATTTCATTTTATCTAATTTAATACTT